GTGTGTCATTTTAGTCAGTGCCATTCCTGGAGGCCAGTTTGACAGGTGCTCCATAAATGTGGTTCTGAAAGATCACAAGTCAAGTGTCAGCCTTTTTATGACAATGCCTGCTCTATAAATGCCTGAAAATGGCCCATGGGAATGCTAACTAGAACAACAAGGAAAGGAGGTTTTATAATGCTCAGCCCTCCAATACAAACATTTCATCTCTCATTACAGTCATGCAAATTATTATAGGTCCATAGACAAAGGGAAAAGTTTACTAAGCTTAAAACAGATCAGACAGTATTTAACTCTATCAAAATTAAAATGGAAAAACATGTCAGAAAGCTTTGGGATCACTTAAGTTATTTAAGCTGTCTTAAAAGTATATATAGGACTTGTGAAGATATTGTATACCAGAATATCCTTGGTAAGCTTGTTTATGTTTCCTTCACAATCATCTGTAAAACAGATAGAATAAACCCATTAAAGTCTTACCTATTTTTTTCATGTTCAGACTACGTGGAAGTTTTCTTACTCTGCTCTCATCCGTGCAGTTCATGTGCTTCCACTATGAAGGGCAATGGAAGATGCTGACATATAGAGAGGTATAAGACAACTGTTCTCAAGGAGCTCATGAAAAAGCACTAACTCCTCACTCTTTTCTGTCTGTTTTGGCACATCCAAGATTATTAAGTGATAAATGTTAGTTTAAATGACTAACACTTTCTACAGGAAAGAATAAATGACATATTTTTCACTTTTAAAGAGCTAATCTAGACATCATACACACTCCATTCTAGTAGCTTTTAATATCTACTCCTGCCTGCTGTGGCATTCTGCCAGCGTCCTGCACCCCTTTCACTTTAGGGCAGGAGTTGGCAAACTTTTTCTGAAAAAAAAAAAAAAAGAGAAAAAAAGAAAAGATATCAAATACTTTAGGCTTTGCAGGCCATACAGTCTTTGTCACAACTGCACAATTATGCTTTTTTAGGTGAAGGCAGCTGCAGACAATACATAAATAAATGAATATAGCTGTGGCCCAATAAAACTTTATTTGCAGACACTGATATTTGAATTTCATATCATTAGCATGTATCATGAATATTCTTCTTCTTTTACTTTTCCCCAAGTATTTAAAAATGTAAAACCCATTCTAGGAAGCTTGTGGGTCATACAAAACTAGGAATCAGGCCAGATCTGGTCCATGGGCTGTATAGTATGACAACTTCTGGTCTAGTGGCACTGCTCCTTCTTCAAGAGCTAGGTACCCTTCACTTGATCACAGTCCAAAGGGAAACTCTCTAATGATGGTTCTGCTTATATAGCTTTCCCATACAACACATTGAAAACTTTAGCGATCGTCCATAGGCCCGTGATTTTCCATTGCATATCTGAAAGGTTATTCCACTTTATTAGCTGGTCCATTGAAAACGATCTTAAGATTTTACAGTGACTTCTTCACCTTTTGCCAAGAAAAAGTATATATAAAACAATGTATAAGGGTTAGAAAAGGAAACCTGAAAGAAGCATGGGTTTTGTTCCCAGTTGGGGGGATTCAGTTCTTTGACTGGATACATAGCTTAATCCTTTCACATCTCATTTTTTGTCTGGAAAGTCACAATGACCAGGTGTTGTTACTAAACAGTTATATTAAGTGTTAAGGGATATGAAGGGGAAAATTATGCTTGTATCTTCCAGAGTAGCCACATTTTCAGGAAAATGTATGGTCTTTTTATGCCATAACATATAACAGAAAAGATAAATATTTCTGAAGAGGAATCTAGTAGTTGATTTGTTCCAAAGACTTTGGGGTAGAAGAAAACCTAAACCTGAGTGAGATCATTCAAACTATAGCACAAAATACACACATGTAAAATTTCAAGGTTTTCCTATGTGCCTACTATTACCAGGAGAGGTTTGGTTTAGGGGTCTGTAAAAATGTTTTCTTCTTTTAAGTATAATGTTCTGAGCCAAGACATCATCAGTTCCAGGCTCAGTCAGTTCCAGTTGAAAGTGTGAATGTTCAGCAAGAGGATATTTTTGAAAGGAGACTGAAAATCTGCTGTGCCAGATACCTGAAATGTTGTGAGGGTATTCAGTGGAAAATTTCATTTCCACATTATAAATAACTGTAGAATATTTTAAGGGATCCAAGTCCAGAAACTTCCAAGAGCTGCTTATATTAGTTCCAGTGAAATGTGAAATGGAGGTAGATGCCCAAGGAAGGCTATAAAGCTGAATTACCGGATATGATTAATTAAAATAAACAATTCACCATTGATTAAATTGCCCTTAAAATCCACAGTCAAGGTACCCAACCATTGAGGCCTGCGTATTTTCCTATCCACCAAGTAAAACAAAGAAAGAACAAAACAGCGATTGAGAAAGAAAGAAGGAAAGTCCCCAAGATGATTACTTAAATTCAAAGTGCCCAGAATTTCTTATTCAAAAAAGACTTGCCTGGTCGCCCATATTTGAAATATTGACTGTTACTTAGAGTCTTCAAATTTTCTGGGAGTTCCCTGTTCTGTGGACTTCCTGGGAGGACAAGGACAACCCCAGAGAAGGTGACATATCACCTACTACGGTAGTTACTAAATTTCTGTCTCCCTTTGACCACAGAAATAATCCACTTCCTGATACTTCTCCCCTCCTTTGCAGCCACCACACCTTTAAAAACAAAACAGAACAAGTTAGAGATCTTTGTTAGACAGTGGTACAACGTGCCCCAAATAAAATCGCCCCGTTAAAAGGAAAAAAAAAAAATCCATGCGCGCGCGCGCGCGCGCGCGCGTGAGTTGTGTGTTATTCATTTGTGATTGTCAGTGTGTGGGATGTTCGAGAGTGTGTGTATGAGTGCATGTGAGTGGGTGTGTAAGGCAGGAGAGTGATGGATGCCATCTCGTTATTATTACTATTACAATTACTATTACTATTTCTATTACTATTTTTGAGGGCTAAGCCTGGCTTCCTTTCACAGGTCGGCCGCCTGCGGCTCTGGGGAGGCTCCGCCTTGGTGCGCGCAGGCAGCGCGGCAGTGCCCAGGGTTAGAGCTCTCCCCTGTGACCGAAAAGATAATTAAAAATCGCACGCGCAGGAGACAGCTCAGTTCCTCGCTGAGCATCAAGTTCGTCTGGATAAGTGGGTTTTCTCACCCCTGCGGCGCGCGGGCCGGCAGGCCCGCAGTCAGAGGGCGAAGAGTAGCTTGGGGAGAGGGTGTCATAACGAGGGGTGCAGAATGCTTCTTGGAGTCAAAGAGGGTGGCAGGCGGCTGTGGGAAGGCCTAGGAGGCTGGAGCGGCGCGGTGAGGAGGCTCGCGTCTGTGGGGGGATTTTAGGGAGAGGCGAGAACATGGAGAGAAAAGTGGGAAAGGGAAAGACAGAAGAGAGGCGTGGAACTGTGAATGGAGAAAGGGAATGTAAAAACAAGAGGAGGGACCAAGAAGTGTCCCCTGAACCCCATCCTTAACCCCGCGAGGGCGCACGCCTAGCCACACCCCTTCCCTCTACCTCTCCCGCGGTTGGAAGCCCCTCTGTCGCTGACACATCGCTTGATAGAGGGTAACCCTGATCTTCAGGTCACACAACTACAGCCCTCCAAGTTCATCTTGCGCTTGAAATAGGCTCCCGAGTCAGTGACAGGCACCAGTTCCTCTCCCCCACAACTCCCCACTTTCGAAGCTCTTTCAGGCCCATCAAAGGCGCAGACTCCAGCGCCCGCTGTGCGAGTGGAAGCAATACTTTAAAAACCGAGAGGGAGGGTCGTGGCAGGTCGCTACCAGGGTGAGAGAGGCGTTTGCGCTGAGCTATAAAAACCCGAATTAATGGGTACTTGAGTTGTTTTAAATAAGATGGGGGCAAATGAGTGATGACTCAACTATCTTCCTTAATACCTCGAGGTGGAAGCATTCTAATTTTTCATTTTATAAAATCACTTATGACTGTGTCAGCTTCCCTGTTAAGCATCTTTGAAACTTTGACAACCGATGATTGTTTTTGCAAACCCATTTTAAAGCTTTGGAAAGTTTAAAGGAGTTTGACAGTAAGCAAGGAACGTAGCAGTATACAACGTGGAGGGGGACCGGCCTGGTGCCCCCTTCTTAGGGGTGCAATAGCCTCAAGCGGATTTCCCGGCTTCTGCGGGCGCCGCACATTGTTTTGTTTGTTTTGAAGGCTCAGAGTTTGAGGCTGGTCGGAGACACCCACGTGCTTCTGACTCTCATCAGCGAAATGATCGCCTCAGCCAGAGTCGTGTCTATATAAACCACAAAAACCTAATCATTAGAAATCCCAGCCTCCAAAAACCACATTTTAGGTAAAACTGCCGCTTTTTTCCCGCGCTCCTTCATCCTCTAGACCACAACTTTTTGGGGGATCCAAAGTCGCTTTTTAAACCCACATTGGGAAATAAATACATAAATAAATAGCCATTGAAGTATTTTGCATATTTTATTTTGTATTTTTACTCACCCCCCGCCTCCAATGGTGGAAGAAAGTTAAGACATTAGACTTAGTTTTAGAGGCAGAATAGACTTAAAAAGACTGAATTGATGGAAAACTGCTGGGGTTTTTCCTCAGCAAGGATTTTTGCAACTTATTTTAATCACCAAGATGACAGTTTCTCAGTCCTTAAAAAAAACAAAAAACTCATCCTTGTTCTCTAGGAACAAGTTTGAATATAGAAGAAAAAAGTGTTCAGCCACCCACTTGAGTTTCTAAAAACTATTTTGACGCGTTCCCCCATTGTGTGTGTGTGTGTGTATGTGTGTGTCACTTAAGACAAAAAACACCAAAACCCTGCAAATCTTTTTCCCCCTGGGAGCCGCTCCGGCAGAGGTGGGGGGGTGGGGTGTGGGGTGGGGGAAGGGTGAAGAGTGTTGAGAAGTCAGCAGAGACGCTCAAGAATTTTCCTTCCTCCTCTGGTGAAGTTACAACGAAAAATAACGACAGTCGGATCAGCCGGCGGCTCTCTGGAGTCTCAGCTTCAACCTCATCTGACCAAGACGGGTTCCTTGTCCTGGGGGGAGGCGGGCAGAAGCAAGAGGACGAGACCAGGCTCGATCCCCCTAGACCGGGGGTGCCTCTCTCGGCTTCGGAAGCTGCGCGCCGCGACCGGGGGGCTCCTTCTCGTGGCCGGCGGGCGGCGGCAGCGGCTGCGATTCGCAGGCTCGAGATCCGTTGCCCTGAGCTCCGCTGCCCGCGACTTACCTCCTGGCACCTCGAAGCGCGAGGGTCAGGGGAGCTTTGCAAATAGCAGGAGGGAGTGGACGCAAGGAGGTGGCGGTGAAAAGGGCGAGAAGAGGCGAAGGGAAAGGAAAGAACCGAGCCGGGGAGCCGGGCTGGCAGCAGCCGCGGGAGGAATCTGAGCGTGCAGCCGGCGCGGGGGGAGCGGTGGCCGGCGCGGGGGGAGCGGCGGCCGCCGCGGAGGAGGCGGCGGCAGCGGGGCGGACGCCTGCAGCTGGGTAGCTGCGCGCGGCGCGGCGGTGGCTGGCAGCGCGCGGCTATGCGGGCCCCGAGGCTGGACTGCTGAACTCACTCAGCTCCACCGGCGGACTCGAACTGGGAGGGGGCGCCAGCGCACCCAGGACGCGGTGCCCCAAGGGACCCCACTCTAAGCTGCAAACTGAAGCAGCCCCCCCATCCCCCGCCTCCCGGGCCAAACACAACACCGCACCCGTTCGCAGCTGCCACCCCGGGTGTTCCAAAGTCTCCGGCAAAGATCTGCGCCTCCCGGGTCCCCCACCCGCCAACCCGACTGCTCCGCATCGCCGCCGCTGGCCCCAGTCAGACTCCGCTCTGCAGTCGGCTTCATCGAACTCGATTTCTCACCTCCTCAGCCCCATCACCTCCATCTCCTTTCCCCCGTCTCGCCTCCACCCCCCCAATTTCCTCCTCCTCGCCCCTCATTTCCACCCTCCTCCCCCTCCCCCGGCCACTTCGCTAACTTGTGGCTGTTGTGATGCGTATTCCCGTAGATCCGAGCACCAGCCGGCGCTTCAGCCCCCCCTCCAGCAGCCTGCAGCCCGGCAAGATGAGCGACGTGAGCCCGGTGGTGGCTGCGCAGCAGCAGCAGCAACAGCAGCAACAGCAACAACAGCAGCAGCAGCAACAGCAGCAACAGCAGGAGGCGGCGGCGGCGGCGGCGGCAGCGGCGGCGGCGGCAGCAGCGGCCGCGGTACCCCGGTTGCGGCCGCCGCACGACAACCGCACCATGGTGGAGATCATCGCTGACCACCCGGCCGAGCTCGTCCGCACCGACAGCCCCAACTTCCTGTGCTCCGTGCTGCCCTCGCATTGGCGCTGCAACAAGACCCTGCCCGTGGCCTTCAAGGTAAGAAGCTGCGGCCGCCCCCCCCCCGCCCCCGGCCCGGCGCCGCGGGACCTGCCCGCCGGCGTCTCCGTGACCGCGGGTGCCAGGGCCCGGACGCGGCCCGAGGCCTCCTACCTTGGGGGCTCTCACTCGAAGGACCCCCGGGTCTTCCGGATCTCCCTCCAGATCTCCCAGTGGGCTCGGGGTTCAGTGACCCCGCGCAGATCCTCCCCTCTCCCACCTGTGCTCGCAACCACCACCTCAGTCCTTGTCTCTTTACCGGTTCATCACCTCTCAAGCCTCCGGGGTCAACGACTCTAACCCACTCCTCTGAGCCGTCTCCCCTCCCCCAATAGCCCCCAGGTGCCCACTCTGTGCGTCGCCACCGTGACTTGCTCCACCCCGCCCCCATGCCCCAGGGGTAAGGATCCCCGGCATTCTCCCCGCGGATTCCCGCGTCATCCTCCCCGGGCATCCCGGCGGACCCCGCACTGAGGGCTGCCCGCGCCGCCCCTCCCCGGGATTCCGCGCGCTCCTATCCTCACCCCTCCCAGCGGAACACCTCTCCGGGGGTCTCGGCGCCCTCGGCTCCGACTTGAGCCTCTGCGGCCCCGGCCCCTCCCGGGCTCGGGGGCCGGTGTTCGTGGGGTGCCGGCGCCGGGTGTTCGCGCCCGGGGCGGGGCGCCCGGTGCGGGGCGCCGGGTGCCGGCTGCAGCGCGCGGGCCACATTACTGATGCCCAAGACGGTTGCGGGCAAACCTACGGACTAGGGGAGTGCGTGAGGGGGTGACAGGACGGGGGCGTTTGCTAGGCTCGCAGACTCATGGCAGTTCCCGTTACCGGGAGGAAGGTGGGGCCGCCGGGGTCGCCGCGCACCCGTAGGCAGGGGAGCCCGGGAGTTCGCGGCGCTGGACCCTCCGGTGCAGGAGGCGCGGGCCAGCTGAGGGGGCGGGGGCTCCGGCCGCCTCTTCCCCCGGGGACTGAGCTCCCAGCCTCGCCCCGCCTGGCGGGGATGAGGGAAACATGTGAAATGCCTTCGGTTCGCCCGCCTTGAAATCTAAGGTGAAAATCTGCGGATTTGTCTTATTATTTTTAAGGGATTTGGTCCCAAAGGTCCCTCTGGTTTCCGAAGGTCGCGGGAGGCTCGGGCCGTGGCCTGGGCGCGAAGGGAGTGACCCCGGGGCCTGGGAGCGCCCTCCGCGCACCCCGGGGCCTCCTCCGTCCGCCCGGCCCGTTAGCTTGAGGGCGGGTGTCCGCGGCGGCAGTCGCCTGCAGCGGCTCGGCAGGTTGAGGATGGAGGGTCTGGGGCCTCTGGCAGTGGCCAGATGAGTGTCCATAATGCGACCCGAATTGCCCCGGGGCAGCCCTCGCCAGGGGGAGACGCGGAGCCCCCATGGCTGAGCGCGCGCTGGGTTGATGGGGGAAACGGGTTCCCGGACAGTCCTCGCTGGAGGGACTAGACGCGGGAATGGAGGGGGCGGTGAGCCAGACAGGGAGAAGAGCACTCTCAGAAAGCCGCTTCCGGCCCTGTCTAGCCTCTGAACTCTTGAGATGGGCCTGGGCCCCCTGGGTTCTGGGATCTACGGAGAGCAGGGTAGGCAAGGCCTTTGGGGAGAGGGGAAAACGGGAGGAATCGTGCCAGTTCCTCCACTGTAGACCCCGGGGCCAAACTCCCACGGGCCACTAGGAGTTCCCGGTTGTTGAACCCCAGTCCCTCCCACGCATCGAATCATATTCGGTGTATAGGTAGGGTGGAAGGAAAGCAGAGTCCAGGTCGCTTAGCGCTGGTTATTTTGCTAAGTCTTATATCAGAACAGAAATCAGGATGAATTGTTATGGAAAGGGGATGTTGCATTCTGGGGCAAGTTTCATTTTGCTGTTGGCTCAAGAAGTGTGTGTGTGTGTGTGTGTGTGTGTGTGTGTGTGTGTGTGTGTGTGTGTGTTTAACCGTCCCATTTCTCCTTTTATAAACCACCCATTTTGTAGATTGTTTTCTTCCTTGAAACATGCAAAGCTCAGAATATTGTAGAAATTTAAATTTCCATACCAATGATATCTTTTACAATGTTCATTGTCCAAGGGCCCAGAATTTCTAATTAGCCTTATGTGAGAGTATACATTTATTTCCATCCCCCCTCTAAAAAAAACCCCAAACACAAAAAAACCTGGATGAAAACAGCAAATTATACAAATAAGTGGATATTTTGTCTATATAATGCCACAAGTCAGGGTATGTGAAAATTTAAGGATAGGTGCTTACCTTTTTAAAGATATCATTTAGATGTTTGATAGTCTACATTCCGTTCTGCTAAGTATGTTTAAAGTATAACTGTATTGAACTATTCTCTTACACTTGTGCTGAATTGATTGTGAGCATCCGTATTTTAGACAGAAAGGATGTTTTTGGCATAAAGATAGAATGCAATTTAGTTTGATCTACTCTCAGATTTTGGTTCTTCAGATTTTTCTCACCATCACCCTTTAAAAATTATTTTGAAAGGAAATTGCTTTCTTTGCTATTTATCATACTTATTGATAATTACAGAGTAACTTAACTTGTAACCAGTAAACAAAACCATAGATAACACATGGCCATGTTAAAGTAAATATTTTAATTCACGTTAATTGAAAAATAAATTGAGTTAACCTAAAACTGGACTGCTTTCCCATCCCCATACCGGTATTTAACAAAATTCAGAAAGTGAGTGATGGCTGAATTTCACTTAATATAGAAGTTTTGTCTCTGCTGAAGAAGGTGTATAGCTATTTGAAAAATCCAGATTTTGACAACAATTTTTGTTTTCATCTGAAGGTTAGTAACAACGACCTCTTTTTACCTTACTTTTGAGATAAAAGCCTGAGTGCAGGGGGCTTTCTACACTTGCCACAAAATCAAATACATCTGCAGTGAAGAAATAATGTGAAGAAGTCTCAGTTTTAACAGTGGTGAGCAATGTGATTATGATATTTAGTGCTATGTACAAAGTAAATCATAGTGTTGTTGGGTAGATAACAGACAGGTAAATTTATTGAGAAAAACATACAGAGAGCTTAATTTTTGAGCAATCTGGTATCCAGATCAATATAATACTTATTGAGCTCACATTTTATGTCTGTGACACTGAGCCTGGCACTGTGGAGAATCAGAAATAAATTCAGTAGATTGTGTTTTCATGTTAATTTGAAATAGTGCTTCAAAATGATGTTGACAATGTATTCAGTCTTAAGTAATGTATTATGTTGTTCATCTGATCTTGTTTGGGGATTGTACAAGAATACTTAATTCGTTTCTGCTCGCCATGTAAAAATGTAGAAACAACTAGTATACTTTAAAATATGTCAAGTTGTTTATTAGCATTGTATTTTTAACAAAGTTCTGCAGTTTTGAAATGTTCAGTCCTCCCAGGTGTCAAGGAAATGGAAATAAATATTTTTAACATTTCTTTCAGGTGTATCTCACTGAAAGCTTAAAATAGTTAAGGCATACTATTAGAGGATCCCAGGCCTTTCTGTCCTCGATAATTCTAGTGACGAGAAAGCAATTTGCAAATTCAGCTCACTAGTTAATGGTCAGATAGAAATAGTAGAGAGAATATGTCAACCCTGTGTGCAGTAGCACCCTTATAGTTAGGGGTCTGTCAGCATTTCTACCATGAAGCCTGGTGTTCAGGGTTCATAACTCAGTTGCTTTAAATAGCTTCAATCTGAAACACTATGCAGAAATTTTAAGTCCAGATGTATATTTTAAAACTAAAAGTAGTGCAAGGCTATTGCACTGTTTTAAGTTAGAGGACACTGGACTATATATATTTACCAGTATCATATGTTTTTCTGGCAGTGTTAAAGAAAACACATTTTTAGATATATGACCTACTATTCATAGTTAATTCTGTATGTTTAATGATAGCTTTCAGTATTTGTCATAAGTAGGGTTTCAAAATGATGGAGCGATTTCTATTTGAAAATAATTTTTTTGACATTATTTGCCATTTTTCTCTTCAGAAACAAGTATAAGACTAATAAATATTTGACACTAGTGAGTTGTATTTTCCTTACATATTCAGTGATCAGATTTTATGTTTGTGTTGTTTTTAATGCAGTTATACCTGAACAAAGAAATACATGTAATTATACCTAAACAAAGACATGTTATTAACTTGTGAAAACCTTATTAAGCCTACTATGAATCATTATGCAAAATTATGTAAATCATAATAGATTTCAATTGTGTGAAGACACATTTATGCCTTTAAATGCAATAAAAATTATTTAAAGTTAAAAATGTTAGGACTGAATATATGAAACTTATTGGCAAGGTCATCGCAATAAATACTTTTAGATGGAAAACATATTTAAAAATTTTTTAGTAAACTTACATTTCAAAACAGGAAGGATAGGATACCTTTCACTATTTTTTTCCCCTTTGGCATTGCTGTTTGTATCCTTTCAAAAAATTTCAGAATATCCATCATTAGATGATCTCAAACCAGTTTGATACATAGCACATTAATTCCTGGCTTAAGCTGATATAATTTCCATCAAATCTCTCTTTTACATACATTTTAAAACATGAAATGATACTTTATATTATATTTACTTTTTTCTCTACAATTCAGTCAGGTTTTCCTAAACTCAAGGTTAAATTACAAAAATTAACTGTAATGTTTGTGAAAATTTTTGATATGTTTTTAAAAGTTATCTTGAAATATTTACCATAGGAATAAAATTTTTCCTTACTGCAGTTACCTCCTTACCTCTCTTTTTATTCCAAAGGAAGATTTGATAAGAGTCTATCTTGAAAAATAATTACATTTCAACTTTGCTACAGGTACAATGTGCCAAATGCTATTGGTCTGTAAGGATAATTGATTAGTTAAGACTAGACTTCTATCCATGGAAATGTAACAGGCAATTTTTACTTCCGTATAATAAGACCACAAAAACAATTTTAAGGGTCTGAGTTAATTCTCCATTGCTCCTCTTCCAAAGCAATTCACAAATTTAGTCATAAGGAGTCTCATACAAAATTTCAGTAGCATTTCTAGAGTAAAATATCCTTTATTTTGTACAAGCTACGTATCATGTGATTTAAATGCTAGTTATAGTGAGGTGTACTAAATAAAGGAACTTCTTTCTTAATTCTGAAATGTCAGGACATAAAACTACTTCCCCCTTTCCCATGAAGTTTCTTATATTTGTAGATTTTACATTTTAAAAACACCTAGAAATGTAGTTGTTAAGGTTTCATCACAAATTTTCTTGGCAGAACAGAACTTTTGTATTGGGTAGCATAGAAACAAATTTTAATGTGTGCTTACTCCTAACTAGCTAAAGAACGGTTTTTGACTACTCTCTCTCTACCCCTTAAAATGTTTTCCATTGCTTGGGTTTGGTACAGATGAAATGTGTAAAAATTTCTTGATTCTTTTGGTTTTCTTTTAGATAAACACAGTTGAGAATCTCCAAGGGGAACTTTTTAGCTTCAGAGATCTACTTTTTTTAAAAAAAATTCTCAACCATATAATAATGCTCCTGATTGATATAAAGTCAAATACAGTATTCCCTCCCCCATTTTTTTTCCTCAGAAAAACATTGGGCAGTCTGATTTGGTAGAGTAAATAGCAGGAAAAAAAACACACCCCGATTATATTTAGCCATCAAAATAGAGTTCAGCCATAATAGGAAAAGTTGTCACTATATTATGCTAGTTAGCATTTTTTTTTCAGACCAAGTTCTAAGCCTCATAGCTGACTCACAATATGTGATTACCTATTTGTTTTGTTATTAAATGTAATATGTAAGACATACCAGTATTTAATATGGTCATTATTATGATGCTTAAGCTAAGTAAAATGCATTTATATATTTCACTCTTAGGGATTTTTTCTTTCATATTTTCCCATATTGAATCAATTTTCCTTTTCTTCTAACTAAAAAACCCCCATTATGTTAAAAATATGCAGTAAAATAATAATGTCTCAGAGCTCTTGAAAATCTTTCTATTGGGGCAGATTTCTTTACTTTTTTTTCCTGAAATTTAGCCAGGCTGGATTGAAAGCCATCAGAAGTCATCCTTTATCTTTCAACAGCAACAAAAAAAACATCTCAAGACCTGAAGTGAAGAATTATATATTCAGTTGAAGCCATTAAGGATACTCATAAGTAAGAGCTTATGTTTACCACACAGCAGACTTGGAACAGAAGTTAGCCTCCTCGTCTTACAAAAAGTACATCGTTATAATTACGTTCTATACTTACATAGTATCTTCTACATTTTACAGGCTTTAAAAAAAACTGATTTCCAATTTATATTGGAAAGCTGTGGTTCCTGGAGATGAAGTTACTTCCTTCTGTGAGATCATGGCAGATATGTAGCCGAGGTGGGAAAAAAGTGGGGCCTCTTGATCTTTGGTGCATTCGCTCTCTTCTAAATAGTACAACTTTTTTGCCTTCATTAATACGCTTACGGGCTCCATATTTACTTTGACATAGAAAGCCACACAGCAGGTGCTAAAACGCAATTTGCTGAGTGTAAAAAATGCCAGACGTTCAGATGAATACTGGCAAACACAGTCAATTATTTCGGTATTTTCAAATGTTCACATTTTTGGCATTGTAAAGTTGAAAAATTGAAAAGCACATTGCCTCCATCAGGAGTACAGCATTACCTCCAGGCAATAGCCACTTGAGGCACTAGATCGAGTAAGTAGGGAGGAACTCGTGTTCTCAAGGGATTTATCCTTGACCTGGGAGGTTTTTCAGATTGAAGAGAGGAACCATATACTCCAAGGAAAAGGTAATTGGCGTGATTCCCTCTCCTTTGCGATGGAAAACGTTGTCAGAAAACTAGTTTGGAGCAAAGGCATACTGTTGCTAGTGAGAGATGCTGCCTCGACGTTTAACTGGTTCGCTCAGAGTTTTATCCGGTAGCTTCACAGACTGCTGACTGTAGGAAGTGATGCTCTTTTTGGAGCTCTTTCATTGATTTATTTCAAAAATATTTATCAAACTCTGTGCCAGGAACTGTCTTTGAAGTTGGGCATATAGTACTGAACAAGACAGATGAAGTCCCTTCCGTCATATAGGGTAGTTTTTTTCTATCTAATATTATCTGGACTCGTAGAAGTGAGTCACACAGCTTTGGGCCAGTATCTCAAAAGGAGTAGATAGATCATTAATATATGCACGTGAAATGAGGATCATTAGAGTACAGTGGGATGCTGTGGAAGTGGGTTCTGTAATTTAAGGAAAGCTTTAGGATTTTAAACTGAATAACGAAGTGCTAAAGAAAGAATGGAATTGAAAAACCACCTAAGAGAAAAGTAAAGGTGAAAAAAAATATTGCCAAGTTTTTAGTTTGATTATTTTCCTGGCTGGAGCAGTGGGTATAGTGGAGGAGTGTTGGGCTAGGGTTCATGGGTGGGGGAAATTCAGCCCTAAAGTATAGTTATCGTGTCTGTTTTATCACACTCTGAGAAATCTGCTCTGATAAGCGTATGCACACATTATTATTGGGAGCATAGGCTTAAATGCTTAGGTTTGCCTTACAAAACTCTTAACAAAGGAGGGAGTAACACTGGAAGAAGGAGAAAGAAGAATGGGATACTTGCCAGACAGGCAAGCCCATATGGATGTTACGTCAGAGTAATGGGGTACCCTAGGTGGAGTCATTGCCTAGTCACCATGAGGGCATCTGGAAGCTGAATGAGGAAGAGATGGAAATAATATGAATATAGGATCTTGGAAGTTAGTCGAGAGAAAGGAGGTTATCAAGGGGCAGGGTCTTGGTAATGGGTTAGGAATATTGTGTTTTATACGTGACGGTGAAGGCTTTGCACCGACATTCCCTTACCAGGTTCTATGTTAGTCAGAGGCACCCATTTGCAAGTTAGCTGACTCTGGTTAAAAGTGTGATCCCTAGCTTTGGAGCAGTGAAAATGTTTATTAGCCTCAAAGACCGATTTATTCTGGTCCTTACTTGACTGAGCTAATCTGCTGAAAGTTACTTGTTGAAGATTAAGGAGGCAAATGTGTCATTCCAAGATGGCAGGTGGGATAAGACAGGATAGAAGTTTGGCTAAGGGTGTATTTTCTGTATATACCACTCATTTCTCAGTGATTAGTATCAGTCGGTTTATATATCTTTATTCTGCACCCAGACTTTAAGCTTCTCAGTGTCTTTGAACATCCCACTGGTCCTACTGCAGAGAGGACATTTAGTAATTATTTACAGTATGACTAAAAGCTGAATATCTAGCCCAAAGTAAGGAGATGAAATGTAGTCCTGGGTACCACATCATGTTTCTGCTTCCATAAAGTCAGGAATGCCAAGGTTTCACCTAAACGTTTGTTCCCATAGAGCTGACTAGACTTTCTTTTTTAGCCTGTGATCCGGATGAGACCACACCTCAGGGCTCTCCAGGCTGCAGACAGGGGGTGCCTTAATATGTACGATGCAATCTGTAGATGGGGCATCATCCATCCTTCGGTGGCATAATTCCTATGGACAACCTAACATGAGGATTTAATAAAAATGTACATGTATTCTGTGAAGACTCCAACAACAAGCCAAGGAAACTTTTGCCTGCCTTTGAAATGGGTGGACCCTGAAACATTGGTCTGTTTGAAGTGGCCTCCTAACCCATGTGCAGATACTTCATTCCTGTCTGCCACGCCTGGACTAGAGCACTAAGTCCTGATAAGACACATCACTGACAGAGAGAATATAGTCTCTGTTTTGAAGCTTTTCTGATGTGCCATTATTGCTGCTGTGTTTCCTGTTTTATGTAGGTGGTAGCCCTCGGAGAGGTACCAGATGGGACTGTGGTTACTGTCATGGCGGGTAACGACGAAAATTATTCTGCTGAGCTCCGAAATGCCTCTGCTGTTATGAAAAACCAAGTAGCAAGGTTCAACGATCTGAGATTTGTGGGCCGGAGTGGACGAGGTAGGTCGCTGATTTTTCGTATTGGTAATGGGAGAAACATATTAGGATGCTCTGATGAAACGAAGGCTAGTCTGTGTACAAATCAACACCCTTTTCTACTGAATAGACTTACTGCAGGTTTTATTTAAATACGTTCAGATGAAGTTGAGTGTTTTTCTGAGTATTCAGGCCTTTTTCATTGGTTTTATGATATTGAATATTCAAACAATGTTTTCAGAAGAACTTGTTCCTAATTTCATTGGGTGTGAGCATATCAGGTGGAGAGAAGGACAGTTGTAGGTTCAAGTTCTGGATTATGAGGAGCCAAATAACTGAGTAAATTGAGTGGCAAAGGGGAAAGAACAAGGAATGCATTGGAACAATTTCCTGATAATGCCAGTTTTGCTGTAAGTGGTAGTAGCAAGGACAGTTAGCATAATGCACTTCATTTATCACCAATGTTACCTCTTTATGATTTAATTTACTCTTATAATAAGAATATTTAAAAATCACGTTTTTTTTTTGTTTTTTTTTTACAGAAGGCTTTTCATTTAAATAAGTGAATAATGTGTTACTTGTGTTAGAATGACTATGAGTTGCCTAGGCAGATGATCGGACTTGAAATATTTTCACATTATTTAAGGGTTTCCGCCATCCGAATTCATATTCAAATATTAGGAATCCTTAAAAAGATCATAACATAGAAAATAACCCCTTTTAGGGTTTTCATAGCTATTTTACAAATGGGCTTAATGTTTTTAAAAATAGTCTCTAAGGAAAGCGATTTTTGGCTTTATTTACTTATTCTGTAGAGAGACTTTTAATAGTCATTCATAAGAAGTATTATGTTCACTTATTTATTTATTGAATCTAATATTTCCATTTTAAGTATTTCGATAATAAGAGAGAAAATAGGCCACTTTAGGACTGGGGTGAAATAAATTATAAAGACCTGTGGAATTACTTCAACCCAGGTTTGAAGTAGGAAATGAGAAGCATCAATTTTTAAACCATGTTCAGTAATTGCTCTTTAGTTTGGATCAGATGTCAAATTATTACCATTGTAAAAACTTGATAAGGGAAATTCAAGCAAGGCTGTTTCCGATGAGTAGTTTTAGTTTACTTTCTAGGAACAGGGCCAAGAAGTTGTACTTTTTAACGTAACAAAAAAATGATGCATGCTAATGAGATACTGTCACTGAAAGGTTGTTTGAAATAAAATGAGGCTCAGGGCCTCTGGTAGAATCAAAACTAAAGGGGTTATCTCTGTATCAGGTTTAGTTTACTTTCATTAAAAAAAAAAGGACACATCCTATCTCACTATTGACTGATTAGGTGTGAACTCTGTATGTGTGTGTCGTCATTCTTTTTTTTTTTTTTCTCAATGACTGGTGTAGGTCCACAGTGCAATTATAGTTTCTCATTTTTCTAGTAAGAATCAAGAAAAATTTGAACATGATGATTTACCTGTATGCTCTGAATTACATCATTCTTACATAATATTACTTTGTTTTTCACTAGAGTGATGAATTTTAGTATTTAAAAGACTGGGCGCTATACTTTATTTTACTTTACAGATTGAAGCTAGTGTTTTCATTTATCTTGCTTTTGTATTATATAGATGCTGCATAACTTTTCTCTGATCAATTTGAGTAGAAACTATGGCAAAGTGATAGTGTACTTTGTAAACCCTCAACATATTTATTTAAGAAACTTCAAAGAGAAACAAAGGGTGTGCACTGTTTTACTATATTGGCTTTCTGAGTTTTGGCTGGTTTCCCAAATAGCAATTTTTATATTTAAAAAAAAAAAAAGACAGACTTAACTGCTTGCAGACTTTTCACGCATGGAAGATGAAGAAAGCTTCTTTTGATGAAGTGTAATTATGTCCAAACAGAGCTGACCCCCTCCCCCTATATTTCTTATGATCTTAACTGAAGAAAGTAGGATTTTTCCTTTGAAGCAGTCGGGACTTGGTGGAGGATCTGAAATGCTACAGTCTGCTGCCAGAGGCAGGATGGAGAAATTGGTCCAGACTTGTCTTCGCGACTTAGATTGGGGGTGGGGGGAGCTGGTGGAGAGAGAAAGAAAAATTGATTTATCACTAATAATAGATTTTTATATCACCACGTGAACATTATATGAAAGGAAACAGTAATACCAAACTGAAATGAAGAATAAAAAAGTACAGAGAACACTGAGGTATCACTCTTGGAAAAAAAAAAAAAGGGGGTCAGTTTTTCAGTGGCAGGAAACCCTTTAACCTGCCTGTGTACCTGACCTGCTTTCTAACAGACTCTTTCCAGCTTCCTCTTTGATTTTCACACTTCTACATTTCTCTTACAGTTATCAAGTCTGAATCAACACGCTGCTTACCATTGTATTTTTTCCCCCAGCTATTTCAATTTTCCATTTTCAGTAGCCTTTAAAAAATAACACCCAGTTCCTCAAATTGTTACCGTTTTTCTTTTCACTAGTACAGAATATAAACTCTCAGAAATTGAAAAACAAAGTTAAATGTATCAAGGAGTTTCATCACAACTTACTTTGGCCTTATGGGTTATCTGATGACCACAAGTTTTGGAAGTGCTTTGGAATAAAAGTAGAGCATCAGTGAAACTTGCATTAAGTTAGGAGTGGCTTGCGTTTTTTTACTTGTCTTTTCCTTTCTTCATCTCTGTATTTTAAACAGAAGTATTTAACTTGACTTTGGTCCTTAGCGTTTCTTGGTGTACTCCCTCCCTTTTGACAGCAAGCATGCTGCTTTTAATTTGCAAGCGTTTTTTAGGCCCCTACCATCTACAGAGCCTGGGGCTGTGTCAATTCAGGATACAACCCTTGGCTTACAGTCTGTTACCCCTCCTGGCACTTCCTGACAGCCCCTCAGGTTAGGTCGGAATTGTCTTTTAATGACAGTTCCTGGGTTTATCTTAGAAAATATATGTCTTAAGGATACGTGCAGAATTAGTTCCTCACTAAAGCTATGGAGGATACAGTTGGTTATCTAATGAGCGCTAGCTTCCTAAGAGCCTTCATTTTTTAGTAGAGCTTGAGTTTTTATCATTTATGGAAATTGGTACAAAAATGGGATTTGGAAACAAGTTTTTGTTTTCCGGAATTTAAGGAAATCATAAATACATAAACATTATTTTTTTGGCTTAGGAAATATGTTATGATTTATAAGGTGAAGAACTAATTACCCAGTTGGGTGGTAGTTTCTGGAACATGACAATCAAGTTCTTTCTGAAGGGGCAACAAGAAGTGGAAGGAGGCTTCTTGATTTTTTGTTGGTTGTTAAAGTACATTTTGATCCTTAGGATTTGATTTTGGAAGACCATAGTTATACTTAGATACTTGTTTCCTCCCCCAAAATCCACTTCTTTTAAAAAGAATTATTTATAGAAAATTGGTCCTGCTTTGAACAGTTAGATGCATAGTCTATGCTTACAGGGTGAATTTTATATTTCACATTTGCTCCTACATGAGGTGTTGCTCTGAATTTGGGAGAAGCATTGATGACTTTTAATACCCAAAGGAAGTTGTAAAAGTCTCAAATGGAAATATCCTCAGAACCAGTTTAGGTAAATTTATGGACAGTAACTCTAGCAGGTTATTTATAGACATTAAGGACAATTGAGATATAGAAATCCTTGATTTATTAAGATTATTGGCATGGAGGACAACTGTCTTCCAAGCACTGCTCTCCTAGTCACTGTTAGAAATACAACCCTGGCTCGTGACCGTTGATCCAACCCACAATGGCATCTTTTTATGGTTTACTGTAACTTCACTTTCAACCTAAGGGTTTAGCCTGTTCACTCCTGCAGATTTCTCTGTTGTTTTGAGGTCCTGACATCAATCCAATGGCTTCCTATTCAAACTTTCTAATCTTATTTCTGTGGACTTGAAGTTTTCTGTAACTAGTTTAGACTCCTGGCTGTCTTATTCTTCTGGTTAGTCTTAATGTTTATAATAAACCCTGTTCCCTAATGAGCCAATTAAATTACTTAAATCCATGTAACATCTAGTATATAATGGATGAACTATGATATATTAATGACACCTTCAGAATAGATGCTTTCATCATCCTGGCTGAGATACATATTAGTAGATTAATATTTATTGTTTCTTGGTCTTACAGAGCTTATTGTGATACATGTAGAAATAAGTTACTTATTAATATATTTTTAAATGTTCTCTGTCAATGTTATAAACAGCCTTAATTTTAGGGTCTGGAAGAACTGGGTTCAGATCCTGACTTTTTCTACTTATTAGCGATGTGGGTAACTTATTAAGCCTCTCTGGGCTTCACTTTCCTCATTTGTGCAATGGGGGTGATAACCCTAACTAGATAGGATTAAATGAGATAATGCGTAGGAAGTGGCCAGTACTTTTTCTAGGTTTCTAATCAATATTCATCTACCTCCCTCACATTCCTGCTTTTTCTTTCCTTTTTTTTTTCTCTTTGCCACTGAAAAGTATAGCCAAAGAGACTTAAAAGTATATCTACTGAATAACAAATGATGTGTGTCTTAAACATATTTTAGGAACTTACATGGTCTGAGTTGAAAAGAAAACCCATTCACTAGACTTGACAGTCAAAGACCTGTTCTACATTAAGCCTTGTATATAACCTGTTCCATATTAAGCTTTGAAAAGATTGCATTCAACTCTGCATTGATACATATTGTTTAAGATTTGTGTTCTAATACCCTCAGCTTTCAGTGGAAGGGAAAAAAAAAAACCCCAACAGTCTCTGACCAAAAAACAAAGCAGAAGAGAATGAGCTTTTTAAAGGTCTGTTACAAGGGCAGGCTAAATGAATACTCTGGCCCAAGATTGCTGAATGTTTTATTGAGTCACTGTTTCACGCCCACCTTTTCCTGTCTTGTAACAGTTTGCAGTTTTGACTATCTGACATGACTAACCGTTGCAAATCTAACTGATTACAACTGTCAGTGAGTCTGCGTAACAGAGCCTGGTATCTTCTTCTGGAGAAAGCCAACATCCTAATCTGCTACCAAACTTTTCCCTGTCTTTTCCTCCCTCCATTCATCACCTTTTAAGCTCATTAATTTGAAACATCAGATGTAATATTTCCATGAGGCAGACGCTCTGCTAAAAGCAAAAGTTCATATTTATATTGGGAGGTGTCCTGTACATGTAGCAAGAAATAAATCACTGTCAGGGGGTTATTTCAAGATTTAACAGCAAGGATGTATGTGAGGGAAGGGGGTGGGCAGGGAAGAGAAAAACTTTGTTCCAGTAATGATGAAATCATCATACCGCAGGCACATTAAGGCCAGGACAGGAGACACTGGCTCCTGTTAAAATGATTCCCATAAGAACCTTCCTCTTTCATCTTATTGTAGTGCAGTTAAGCAAATGAAATGTTAAAGCCATGTGAAGTAAATAACATAATCAACAGTGATTTACTATTGTTCTCTCATGGGGTCATGACCTAAGCCTAAATATAGACTTCTAAAATTGTGCTTGGATGTGTTTCTGATGTTGGAGAAAACTGAAAGAAACAGAACCCTCCTGAAGTGGACCATGGATTTTGTCTTCATTACAAATGTTACTGAGCAGACTTTTTTTTTTTTTTTTTTGAATTGGAGCCTTTTTGTATAGTACTGCCATGAGGATGATGAGCTTAACACTAAACCAGTTTAGTAACTTCCTGAAGAGGCCATCAGAGGGTTTCTAATTTAGAATGAGTCCTGACTGTTTCATTACCTCCTCAGAGATGCTTTCGATGCAATGTGGCCATCCAATCAGCAGTATTATCATCAATACGATCGTTTTATATTCACTATGGACTTTTCCCCTTTTCCATCTGCAGGAAAGAGTTTCACCTTGACCATAACTGTCTTCACAAATCCTCCCCAAGTAGCCACCTATCACAGAGCTATTAAAGTTACAGTGGATGGACCTCGGGAACCCAGAAGTAAGTACTTGCCTTCCTATTGGAAATGGTAATAGAGTTTGCAGAGTCCCTGTGAGGAATTTATCCCACATAAGTTAGTGCTCCTTTTCATGTAAACAGTTTCTTTGCAAAATATGCTATCTGCATATGTATTTTTAGTGAGGGACAATTAGTAAAACTTCAAAGTTAGAAGAAAATAAAGTGACACTGTTGACCTTTGCCACAACATTGCTAAGGCCTATGTAACTTAAATGAGTGTATAATTATTCAGTCACTGTAACCATTTTTCTGAGAAGCTTTGCTCATCCACTATACACAAAAGGCAGGGCAGAATAGACTTATGAGAGCTGAGGGAACAAACAGTAAACTGAAAAATCTAGAGCTTAGTCAAAAAGCATGTGTGTATGTTTCCCATGGTCTAAGAATGCGTTTTAACTTTTTACCTCGCCCACTCAATTCCCTTTATAATAGAGCACACTGCTTAATTACAAAGATTTTATTTGCAAATGATAACTCGCTTGATTGTTACAACACTGTTGTTTGGTCATGTTCTAATAATAGTTATAGATCGTTGCTTTTAATAGATAGAGTCAAACCAGGTTTAAATCCACCTTGGTTTGTCTGGGCACCCAGAATGTTTAACCAGCATCAATCAGTGTAAGGTAGCACACACAATCCATTTGGGCTAATATACATTTTCCTCCTAAATCTAAATTGAAACAGGTTTGGTCCCCCCACCCACCAAAACTGATTGGAACAAACTCAGCATAGCACTATTAAAGGTATTTAGAAATTAAAAACAATTTGATACATTAAAAAGTGAACATTAAAAATTCCGTGTTGATGGAAACCTCATACAGAACTCTGCCTTTGATGACTGAATACATTAGAGACCTAGGCATTGTGTTTAGAGAGTTGAATTTGGCTTGTGGTGGGGGTACAGCTGGCAGCAATATTTGTTATATAAAGTTACACCTGCCCAGACAGTGAGAGTGGCATATCTTTTCTTCCCCTAAACCTGAGAGAAAAGGGCTGGTAGAGCTGTGCTTCCCTGCCAAGGGGCATGTCTTTTAGCAGTGGGAACATACGGTGCCTTCCGTTCGTCTTATGGCTGTCTCTTTTCACAAAGGCTGACTGCTTGCCTGAACTAGGGAGGTTTCCTAACTCAAAAGCCAGTCTTTGAGGTTTTCTTTTCTCCTCCTTTCATGTGTGTGGCGTTCTTCCAGGTTCACAGTGTTGGGTCAGTGCTGGTCCTGTGTCTGTTCAGTTTGAGAATGTCCTATGAGGCAGGAGCCATACACGTCTCCGAATGCACCAGCCCCCCATTCCTAAGGGCCGATGGTATGCAGCACAGGTGAATAGAACAGAGCAGGGATGTCTTGCCTGGTTTGGGTGCTTTGCCTGACTTCCGGACTGCCATAAATCAGGGATGATGCCTTATGATGGGAGACGGCCTCTAACATTTTATCTGATTAGCCCTCGAGTTCCTGAAAAGGCAGGGACATCCATTTTAGTAATGCGTAAAGCAGGATAGCCGTCTCTTACCATTTAGCCCTGCTAATACTTATCTTTTAAAGATGTTTCCTGCCGATCTCAGCTGCTTTTCTCAGTTCTTGGAAAAACCTTTATTGTGTGTGTGTGTGTGTGTCTGCCTGTGTGTCTGTGGGTGTGTACACGTATGTGTCCCCATGATCAAGAATTGATGTTCAAAAGCTGATGGTTGGGAGAGGAAATGGGGAAACGCTTCGCCATTCTGCAAGCTCTGATGGAAGGTGAGGAGGCAGGGTAGCTTTGGGAAAGTCACTTCTCTTTCAAGCGACGATAACATTACCTTGTTCCAAAGAGGGCGTTGGGAGAATGAATTAGTTGATAGGCTCACTGCCCTGTAAAAGCAGAGAAGTGCTCTGAGAGCAGAGAGGGTTAAGGGCAGCAGGGGTAGATGGCATATGTGTGACTTGAGTTTAGGCTGTGGGTGCTGCTGAAGGTGGGAGTGAGGAAGCAGATACAGATCTTGAGTGGCAGACCACTGCCCTAGATCAGCCTGAGGGACATTTCTCGTGAACCAAAAATATCTGTGAAAGTGTAATGTCATTTCTCTGACATCATGGGGTGACTTGCTAAACTGTCTGGATATAAGCACGGGTCTGGTATCACTGACATCTTAATGCTACAACCTGGACCCTCTATGTTGGCTTGTTTTCCTCTGCAGCACTCTTCTCAATATTGTTCTTTAGTTCTGAGACTCCCAGGTGTGGAAAATGCCCAGGACTGTTTAATTTTCTTCAACTTTGACTATAGTAGGATTTTGATTGGTTGGTGTGTGTATGTAATGTTAAATGATGAATCCTCTATAACATGGGTTGGCACACTTTTTCTAGAAAGTGCTAGAGACTAAACAATTTCCGCTCTGTGGGCCACATGATCTCTGTCACACAAGTACTCATCTCTGCCATTGTAGCTCAAAAGAAGCTGTAGCCAATACATAAGCAAGTGGTTGTGGCTGTGTTTCCATAAAACTTTATTTACAAAATGAGGCGGTGGGTCAGATTCGGCACACAGGTTGTACTTTGCCAACTTGCGCTCTAGATTTAGAAAATCCTTATTTTATCTACTGTTAACAGAGAAGGGCTTTAGAAAAAGGCCTTCCTGAAGGGAAGGAAAAAAAGAATGCAATTCTTTCAGCACCCTCTCCCACAAAACTATTCTCCTTTAAGTGGTGGTTGTCATAGAAATATTGGGTTGCCAGAAAAGTCATGATGCATTTTTGCAATGAAAAACATAGAAAAAAATACGTCATGACTTTTCCAACAACCTAATAGTATGCATCTGTTTATTACTGCAATGGCTTGAAGGACTTGAGGGTTTTGTACTATTGATTCCTGTTAATAGAATTTCACTTCCTCTAAAGATCGGAGTATGTATGGAAAAGGCTAGTTCTGGTAGATTTGTTATTTGAACAAGGACAAGTTCTGGGTTAATTGGTTGGGGCTTTATTTAGATAGAGTAGTGATTTAGGGTGGTGGGTTTTGGTGTCAGACTGCCTGGCTTGAAATCCCAGCTGCACCATTTACTAGTTGTAGGGGAGTAGGCAAGTTACCTAATATCTTTGCCTCAGTTTGCTCATCTGTTAAAATGAGAATAATAATAATATTATCTTCCTCATCAGCTGCTGCAAAGATGTTAAATGATGTAATGTATGTAAAATGCAGACATAGCACAGTGACGGGCATGTAGTAGGTGCTCATTAAGTGTTAGCTATTATTACAGCAATTTCCGTCAGTGTCAGAAGTTTGCTGTAGGATTTGACTTATCGTCTGCTTCCAGGAAATAGACACAATCTAGATCCTGTTCTCTAGTGTATTATGTTTTTTCTTTTTTTTCCTTGTGGATGGCTTTGCTAATTTCTGCTCATTAGTCAATGACACTAATAAGTGTTATAAATTATGTCTTGAGCAGGTTTTCATGCTGCAGGGGACAGCTGTGCAGAACTGATGATAAACACAATTTGTTTGCAGCAAGGAAGAGTCCAAGAGAGGGGATGCTAGGGCACCAGTGCCCGCCTCTGAGGCCCTGCTTATCAACACATCTGCCAAAACTTGCTTTACACTCAGAAATCAGAAAGGTTTTATCCTTCTATGTTTTCTGTCTCTGGCAGCTGAACCGGTGCTGTCACATCACAAACAACTTCTTTTCTTAATATACACATCTGGCGTTGGCAGTTGGACTCACTTCATAAGAGCACATGATCATCACTCATTACAAGATTAAAAAGTACCCCATGGCATCATTGATGTTTTTTAACTTTGATCTTTTTCAGTTGTGATTCATCTCAGTTATAAAACTTCCCTTTAAAGGAACATAGCCGATGACTTATTAGAACCTTCATCTTAAGTAGCGTAAACATGAAAACGGTGCACATCTTTACAAAATGCCATTTATTTTCTTTGCCAGCTTATCATTTTAAGACATGACATCATACTTAAGATCCCAAATTTGTAAGCCTTGTGTTTAGGCAGGGTGTTTTGACCTTCTGTTGGCAAGTTAGCTCTGAAGAACAACTGCCTTACGCTCATCAGCCGGAGACGTCAGTGGAGCAGCAGCAATGGTGCATTCGGATACCTGACGCTTTTAAACATCAGTTTCTATCAGGATTCTTTGTTCCATCTTGGCACTGCATTCCAACTGCAGTCTGATTTAGAGAATTGCTACAAGAAGGTGAACACTTGGTTAGCGATGTCGTATTCTGTAGTGGTGGTTCTGGGCTAGAGAAGGGGACGGATGGAAAAGGTATCATTGGCTGTGCAGAGGATGGAAAAAGAAAACCTCCTACATAGTCAGAACCCTTTTAATTCTCTTGCTGCCTTTACAGTGATCTATTGCTAAATAACAAACCAACCCAAAACATGATGGCTGAAAACAACAACCAGTTGGTTATTTGTCAGGTTTAGTGGGTTGACTGGGGTTCATTTGGATGGGTGTGCCGTGGTCTCGCTCTTGGGGTCTTTCGTGTGGCTGTAGTAAGATGGCGGCTGGTGCTGGAACATACATGATAGCTTCGTTCCTATGTTTGGTGGCTTGGTGGGATGCTGGGACAGCTGTGCCCTTCTCTCTTTCCATGTGGTCCTAGAGCCTTTCCTTCTCTACATAGCCTCTTCATGTGGCCTCCCCAGAGGGGTCTGACTTCTTACATGGCAACTCAGGGCAAAAGTGGGAGCTTTCAGGGCTTCTTAAGGCTCAGAGCTGTCATGGAGTTACTCCCTTCATATTCTCCTGGTTAAAGCGAGATACAGGTGCAGCCGAGATTCAAGAGGAAGAAACCCCACAAAGATAATGGATGATGGGGGCAGTGGTTCATTGCACTACCACTATCATCAACTTCCGTAAGTGCTTAGATGGCAAATGTCACTGTTGCAACAGGAGGAATATTTTTTTGGAGTTGCCATCCTCTGAAAGGTCTCTTGACTTTTTAATCTGGGGGACTTTTAAAGTTCCACAAGGTAATTCCAAGTTTCAATTAGACT